GTTGAGACTCTGGGGAGGCGATTGAACTGGACAATTAGGGGGTTGGTGCAGCAATTTGGGAGGTCGCCAGGGGGGTTGACTGCGGCAGTCTGACTATGGATTGACCAAGCTGATACACGTGGCTGCCATTGCGGGGCCCTCAGGCGATTAAAGACAACAAGACCCTCTCCTGCGAGTCTGAGAGCACCCTCCTTGGATCTGAGAGCCTATAATTGTCTTTATCTGCCCTTCTTACTCTAAGTCTAGTCTGTTGGTTCGGAGAGGAAAGCGGTAGGCGGGATTGCAACCTGTAGGACCGCAGCAAGGCTCTGTGGGGAGTCATCCCACCGATTGCGGGAGCTCTGCCGGAACTCAAGAGGAATTCTGGAGGCAGGGAACTGAAAGGTAACCATTGCTTCCCCTCTATAAACCCAGTTATAACCCCTATCTGTACATCTCTCTATGTTTGTTTGAGTATATTGTATGCGCCCCCTACTTTGACTTTCAGTTTGACTTTGAGGAAGTGAACCAGATTAAATTAAAGAATGCTTGTACAACCTCAGCTTCAGTTTTGTTGATTGTCTGAAGGCAGATTGTGAACAAAAGGGGAATTGTACCTAAGGGGGGGGTTGGGATGAAGGGAGTTTGCTTGTGTCTGAAAGGGTCTTATAGGGTCAGACATTGATTCTAAGATGAACGGCCTGACTACTGAGTTTTGTTCTGTTTTTTGAAGGGCCAAGCATTGTTTCTAAAACGAATAACTTGGTCGCGGTGTTTATTTAGTTGTGTGAGGTATTGTTATGACCTGGTTTCTTATTTTGAGGGGTATTGATTGCCTGAGTTTTGAGGACCAGACATTGTTTCTAAGATGAATAGCCTGGTCGTCGTTTATTTATGGGTGGTTTCTGAACAGTCTCTGGGTTTAACTCAGAGTATTCTGTCTTTTTTTGGTACTAAGAAAAAGGGGTTGAGCATTGTTTCTAAGATGAATGACTCTACTCTTTTGTTTGTTTATTTTGAGGGAGTAATTTTTGCTGAGGAGAAAGCACGTTCCATAGGATTGGATGACTTTGGACTAATGCCGCACACGGATGGACCAGAGATAAATGAACCTGGCAGAGGACCAGACATGTTCCATAAGATTGGATGGTCTGGCCCAATGCCTCGTACATGCTAGAACCCAATGATTATAATTTTACTATACAGTATTATTATTCTGTTAAAAACACGTCAGTCAGACACGGGTTCCATAAGATTGGACGGTCTGACTATAGCTTATCATAATTTAAGAGAGTACAATTAAGAGTATAACTGAAGGTAACTTGGTCCGACTAAGCATTGTTTCTAAGATGAATGACTCAGTCCTACGCCCACCTTGAAGATTAAAGTTTTAAAGAGTTATATATAACTTGGATATTAAGCTGTTCAGGGCGACTAAGCATTGTTTTTAAGATGAATGACTTAGTCATATGCCCAAAGGAAGAAAGACGTAGTTGTGCAACCTGTTCGTGTATACTCAATGCTTGGGTCAGACATGTTCCATAAGATTGGATGGCCTGACTTTACGCCCTATGTAAGTTGGGTATAAAGGGGTAAATCATTGAAATATTATGAATTATTGCTTGTTGAATTGACTTGGGGATGGTGAGAGTACTTACCTTTGTGGCTTGGCCAGCATATGACTTAGTGAGGTTACTACTTGGTGTGAATTTAAGCTTGATAGGTAGTTGTTTTAGTTGCTCGCCACGTGATAGAGCCATAGGAGTTATTTTCAATTCGTGCATTCCTTGAGCAAAGTTTTTTTACTTAAATCAATTTTTGTATTTTCTGGGATCATTTCTTATACTTGGCTTTCTATAAAATTTGAGAAGCTACGTTCTCTACGGGAAGCGCTCCCGAAATTTCTACAAATCCGAGGAGTTAGTCAAATTTTAGCTTTTCTAAAGTTCAACTTATCTTAAGTTCATACTTGGCTTAGTAAAAATCTGGAAAGTTTCATTTTCTAAAGGGAGTGATGCCAAAATTTTTGCTAATTCAGGGAGTTAGACAAAATTGGACTTTGAGAAGTCAAAGTTATTCTCTAATTCTGAACTTAGCTTTGTATAAATTTTGGAATAGCCCTTTTCTGAAGGGAGTGTTGCCGAAATGTCTGCAAAACTAAGGAATTAATTAAATCTTGTCTAAATTGAACTCGAGTGGTCTTTTGAGTTCATATCCCACTTAGTATAAATTTGGGAAGTCTCTCTTTCTAAAGAGAGTGTTGTCCAAATTTCTACTAATTCAGGGAGTTAGACAAAATTTGACTTTCTAGAGTTGGAGTTTATTTCTGCTTTCATATTGGGGCTGATATAAATTATGAAAAGACACTTTTCCTGCGGGAAGCGCTGCCAAAAATCTTCTTGACTTAGAGAAGTTAGATGATATTTTGACAGATGGCGATTCTGGCGATCCACCCTGTATAGGGGAGACTCTGCCAGGGTCTGCCTTTGTTTTTGGCACTGCTTAAAGGTAGATTCAGGCCTAGTTAACTAGGAGGATTTGAGTGAGAGTGTGTTATGGAGTTGTATTCTCCATACAATTATGATTTCAGATTGGGGATTAGCCCGTCATGTGTTACAGGTCCTCTTGATCGTCTGATTCAGGATTGAGACTAGTTTCAGCCTGATCCTATAAGGATCACCTTCTGTTATCATTGATAACAGGTCGGTTGCCGATTCGTCGGTTTATGATTCAGCTCCAATTCACTCATGTCACTCAACCAAAAGGCTTCAGCCTTGTGATTGAATTGTTTTGTCGTGTTTTTGCATGGGCTTTATTGAATGGTCATCCAACAAAAGTACTGAGTATTTATTTGAGAGTTGCACGAGTGAGGCTTGTATGGCTAAGGCAAGGGGCATGAGTGCAAGGAATGGTTGAAGTTGACCCCGTGTAGCGCCTGGACTCTCTGGTTAAATCTTTGATATGATTGCAGGTACGCTTGGTGATTCAGACTTGGGATTTGACTGTCTGCGCTCACATACTTATATATATATGGCTGAGAGGAGTCCCACTGTGACTGTGAGAAGTGATCGTCTTATATTAACAACCCTCTCTACATATATGTGTACATATATGTTTCGAGTGTTTCGTGCGGCCTACTGGGACCGCCCGCAAGGGTTGAACAAATTATGGCTTGAGAGAAAAGGGGAGATCCCCTTTTGTCCTTTGCTTCTTACAATTTTTTTATGGTCGGACGTTGGTCCTGGGCCGGGATTCGAGGTCCTTGTCCAGGACATCCCAAGCCCTAGAATCTGCAGGGAAGGAATCTGCCCTCGTGCAGAGCCTATTCGCCCCACCCTGCACATAGTGCAGAAGAGGGTGTGTGGTCTTCAACCGCGCATGGCGGTTGTCTAGCGTCGAGAGATTAACCCTCAAGGCGCGTGTCAGCCGACACTTGAGTGTTGAATGAGACCCTCGAGATTAACGAGGACCGCATGATTATGGGCACTACATAGTACGCCATCATTACGACAGCTTGCATACGCCAACATTGCGAGTTGATATGAGTAAGCTCTGCGTCCACGCGGGTTTATACTAAGTCTCCCGCGCGACGCCTATTCGCTGTCTGCTTCGGAAAGTTATGGGATGACTACTGAAGGGACTAGGAGTGTTGTCGCGTTGTTCGATGTGTGTGTGTGCGTGTGTTTTAATTTTGTGTTCGTAAAGTGGTGTGCGCGTGGTGTGTGGGATGCGTCCTGGTCGACCGACGACGAGCCGCGCTTGGGACTTCAGCCCCCCAAGATGTCGGTTCGCGTGCGGGCTCGATAGGCGTATTACCGCGCGTACCCCCTATGCTACAGCGAATGAGAAACGCCCTCGACTAGTCCACTTCTGCGATTGCAACTGATTAGCTTTCGTACTGTGGACTGGTAGCTCGGCGGGGATACGCCCACCGAAGGGAGGTGACAACTCCCGTAAGGTGGAGGTAAGTTGTGCCTCGCGTAGACCCTATCCTGTCGTAGGGGCTCGTGAAAGGTATGGCTGGCGCACTCGGCCGGAGCGGCCTAAGGAAGCTCAAATTGCGTGTTCGTGTCGAGGCTGGTCCAACTCCTGCGTGACGCGGCCGAGAGGGTCCTGCACTGCCACGCGCGGTGCCGGACCGATGCGCTCGACAACCACGGACGACATACAAGATCACCAAGGAAATCTACGACCTCCGTCCAAAGTACGGATACTGCCATTGGTGCAATAAAGTCACTCACTTGAATGCGCAATGCCCCGAAAAGGGCAAGGCACTCGTACCCCGTCCAGCTAACTCGGGAAACTGAGTAACGAAAGGAGAGGGGCGACGTCTCTCCTCACTCCGCCGGACCGGGTTGCCTTGCTAGCAATCGATGTCACTACCGGGGAGCATGCGTTAGTCGCTGATTCTCGTGCTACGTACGAAGATTATGCCGCCCAGCTGGTACCACCACTAGACCAGCCGATCCACGTACACTTAGATTGCGTATGCGCAACCTGTACACCGTCGGCAAGTGATCCGGTCAGCTCGCCACTGACTTCCGAGGACTCAACGGCGTGGTCAAGACTTGAGGAGCTTGATCCGCTCACGAGAGAGGACTTCACTTGGATGTCTTTACCCTCGACCGGAACCTTGCCAAGGCTGCATTGCAATGCCTTAATGGGAAATCTACGCTCCTATTTGCACACTACAATACCAGCTCCGTTGACGGACGACGGGGTAGCGGTTGTCGATCTCCGCTCCTATCTTGCGAAGATTGAACGCGAGTACGCCACCCAAAGGTATATCGAAACCGACGCGCCTTTGCTCTATATCTGCATTCAAATCGGAAAGGCAACCTGTAGTGCCTTGATTGATTGYGGAGCGTCTCGCAACTTTATGAGTCAAGACTTTATGGCCCCCGCGTTCGAAGGAAGACGCAACCCACGCAAGTTACACTCGCGGACGGCCGCACGCAAAAGTCGATTGACCGATGCGTGGATGGCGTTCCGGTATACTTTGCGCCACTTGCGTGCGAGCCGGCGTCTTTTGACATCCTCGACACCAAGTTCGACATGATTCTAGGCATGTCTTGGTTGTGTAGCGCCGATCATCCGGTGAACTTTCATAACCGAACCGTTCACATCCGTGATCAAAACGAAATGTTAGTCCCATGTACGGTCGCGACCCCTCACACTTCGATTGCTTGTCACGTGGTTTCCGTTGCGAGAATTCGCGACGCCATAGCTCGGAATGACGTCGAGGAGATGGGCCTTGTATTCTTGCATGCTCTCCCCTCGCCGAACGGACTAGCCGTGTCACCGCCGGACCCACGCATCACTCACCTCTTGGACGAGTGTGGAGACACCTTCGAGGCTCCCACCGGAACGGTTCCGGATCGGCCCATACGTCACGGGATCACTCTCGAGGCTGGCGCCGTCCCTCCGAGTGGATGTATCTACTGCGTGAGCGAAGAGGAACTTGAGGTGCTTCGCGCACAACTCGATGACCTTCTCGACAAGGGCTGGATTCGCCCTAGTTGCTCCCCATACGGTGCCCCTGTTCTCTTCGTCTGGAAGAATAAGAAAGATCTACGGTTATGCATCGACTATCGCAAACTTAACGCACAAACCGTAAAGAACGCCGACCCTCTCCCTCGGATTGATGATCTCCTTGAGCGGTTAGGCGGCGCGACGTACTTCTCGAAGTTGGACTTGAAGTCGGGTTACCACCAGATTGAAATCCAGCCTCAAGATCAGTACAAGACCGCGTTCAAGACACGGTACGGGCATTTTGAGTGGTTTGTCATGCCATTTGGCCTCACCAATGCCCCCGCGACTTTCCAAGCAGCTATGACGACTGAGTTTCGCGACTTGCTCGATCGCAGCGTCCTCATCTACCTCGACGACATCTTGGTTTATAGTAGGACATTGGACGAGCACATCATACACCTTCGCGCTGTTTTGGATCGTTTGCGACTAGCCAAGTACAAAGCGAATCTCAACAAGTGCGAGTTCGCCAAGCAGGAGCTTGAGTACTTGGATCATTTTATCACGCCGAAAGGCATTCGTCCCTTAGCGGACAAGATCCAAGCCATCGTGGTTTGGCCGGAACCCCGTTGCACGACGGATGTACGCTCTTTCATGGGTTTGGCTGGATATTATCAGCAATTCGTCGAGTCATACTCGAAAGTGGTCGCTCCTTTGTCAAGACTTCAGTCCCCAAAGGTGCCCTTCCAGTTCGACGACGCAGCCCGTGGCGCGTTCACTACGTTGAAGGCAGCGATGCAAGCCGCACCTGCCCTCCGTATATACGACCCCACCTTTCCCACCCAAGTGACTACGGACGCTTCGGGATACGGTATTGGTGCGGTGTTGGAACAGTGTCACGAGGACGGTTGGCATCCGGTCGAGTACTTCTCCCAACAGGTGCCTCTCGTCAATACTCTCGACGACGCTAGGAAGAAAGAGCTACTCGCGTTTGTCACCATTCTCAAACGGTGGCGCCACTTTCTTCTCGGCCATCGGCGTTTTAAATGGAATATGGACAACAATCCATTGGCCTATTACAAAACGCAGAATACGGTCACTAGCACGATCGGTCGATGGCTGTATTACATCGACCAGTTCGACTTTGACCCGTGCCACATTCCTGGTCCCGCCAATCGAGCTGCGGACGCCCTCTCACGACGGCCCGATTTTTGTGCCATTGTGACCACGACATTCGACCTCGATGACGATCTGCAGCCGCATTTCGTCAAAGGCTACAAGTCCGATCCAACTTACTCTACGCTCTACGCGGAGCTTTATCGGATCACCCGCCGGGTAGCCACTATCGGATTTCCGACGGGTTCCTTCTCCTTCACACGAGAGGAAAGGACTTGTTAGTTGTGCCCCAAGATCGCATCTTACGGACTCGTCTTCTCGGCGACTGCACTAGAGATCCACCGAGTGTCATCAGGCGCACATTGCTTGAATGTGACTTTGAACTGCATTGGCTTGTTGCCATACTTGCGGTGCGTGATGACTCGGTCGACTTCCTGATGTTCGTCCATAGAAGGCGGATCCTGTGATCGACGGCCGGGAAACTCATCGGCGGAAGGTGGCGTGTACATGGCCAGCTTCGACGCGTGGAAGACCCGGTGCACTGGAAGGTGCGGAGGAATGTTGACCACAAAGGAAGGACCTGCGGGGTCGTCTCCAACGGCAGAAGTGACTTCCCATGGTCCGAACCATTTCGGAAGGAGTTTGCGCGAAACGTCCTGCTCGAGCGCAAATTCCTCGGAGAGGACCCAAACAAGGTCTCCCTCGCGAAAAGGACATGAAAGTTTACGTCGGTTAGCCTGCTGTTGCATGCGGATCTGAGCCTTTTGCATATTGGCGCGGGCTTTGATCAGAAAGTCCCGGTACTTCCGAACGGAAGCGGGAGAGCAAGGGACGTCTATGTCGGTAGCCTGCGGCAAAAAGGAGTGAAGATCCGTGCTTTCTCTCCACCATGATGTAGCTCGAATGGTGTGACGCAGATCGCCGGGTGCACCGAAGTGTTATAGGCGAACTCAATGTCGGGAAGTTGGTCAACCCAATCTTTCTATTCAGGACGGATGAGCGTATGCAACATCATCTGAGCGGTCTGGTGCGCTCGCTCCGTCTGGCCATCCGTCTGCGGGTGCCGAGCCGAGCTCGGCTTCATTGTCGTACCGGACTCAGCCATGAGGGAAGTCCAAAAGGCCAACATGAAACGAGTATCTCGGTTGCTCACGGAACACCTTGGTTGGTAATCCAACCGGTGTGCAAGAGTCGTGCGAGCTCAGGCGCTGCAGCATGATACTTGCAAGGAAGGAAGCGAGCATACTTGCTCAAACGGTCAACGACCGTGAGAATACCGTCATGGCCGTGGCGATCGCGGGGRAACGGGCCTGTCACGTCCATTGCAATGGAGAGGCGTGGTGCCCGAGGAATCGGCAACGGTTTCAGTTCGTCGAAGGGGACTCGAGATCGACCCTTGTTACGGTGGCAAACTGCACATGACTCAATGTACCTCGTGACGTCATGAAGAACGTCGGGTCAGTGAAAACGCTGGCGGAGGCGTGTTAATGTGCGGTTCACGCCAAGGTGTGCCGAAAGTCGTGCGTCGGGCAGGCCCAAACGACATTACCGTTTGGGCCTGGCGGCGCTCTTGAGGCTGCCGCCCGCCGGTTAGGGCTGAACCGTCAATCTCGACGGCTCAGGGCACGGCCAGGCCTCGCAGCATTGAGGCCAGTCTCTGCCCACCGGTACAAAAGACCGGTCCGGCCTCATTCTGAGGTATCGAACCACCGACACTCTAGCGGTGCGTTATGGTATATCGCCAGAGCGCTAGCGCTATTCATCGCGCAGGAGCACGAGGAGCAGCGCAGCAGCAGTATCGCAGCAACGGCAACGAGCGGAGCAGCAGCAGCGGCGACTGAGCAAGATCGGCGGCCATAGCCGCCTGAGGTATCGGGAGCTGGGGGTTCTCTCCTCCCTCACGTCGCCAGTCCCCTATCTCTCTCTCTCCTCCTCGACTCCATTCTTCTTCTTCTTCTTCTTCTTCTTCAGACTTAATCTTCTTCTTCTTCTTCTTCTTCTTCTTCTTCTTCTTCTTCTTCTTCAGACTGGAGACTTATACTAGCTGGACAGAGATCAGTGTTGGACTTTGGTGGTAAGAGGCTGTGGTACTTACCGGGTTCGAGACTTGGAAATTGTTGGGAATGATACTTGGCTGCATCACAGATTGGACACCGGTTACATTAGGACTCTGTATCTCCGACATTGATGACTTATTGTCCGCGACATTTGATCTTGTTCGATGACATTTTGGATTACCATATTAGTGACCTACTGGTTTCTATCTCGGTGACATTTGGTGCTACCTACATCTCCCACCTCCTTCGTCTCTCCTCCCACCTTCATCTGTGTATGTGTGTACGGGGCCTGAGCATCGTCTATGTATGACTCGACCCCACCATCTCACGATTGTATGTGTGTGGAGTGACATCTGTGTGAGTCATTCTATGTGAGTCAGTCCGTTTATCAGACTTTCGTTGCATACATACTCATCCCATATTGGTTGATCTTTGGTTCTGCCCCATACTCATCCTACACATCACGAGTATGTAACAAGACACCAGGGAGTCTGGGATTGTGTACCCTCCATGGGATTTGAGCAGTACGGGGATTGCAATGCAGGCCCCCGATTGTTGTGGTCTAGGTCCTGCATCACCTGGGAGGAGGAGTGTTGTCTACTGTCTTCAAAATCCTTTGGCTTGGTTCTTTTCGGGGAGCCAGCTCTGAGGAACCTGTCTAAGTCCATGCCATCGCCGACAGGGACTCCAACAGGAACAATTGTGCCCTTTTCGCCAAGCGGGGTGATCCTCCCTTGGTTGTCCTGCAGGAATCCCTGTTGAGCAGCCAATGAAGGGTCTTTGCAGTTGAGATTGAAAGGACAGAGTTCGCCCTGTGAAGAAGAGAGAAGCCGGAGTAAGGGAAAAACCCGACTTATCCAGAATGCATCGGCGGAGTTGAGAGTTTTACCTTCGCATTGGTGATGAGCAGTCTGATTGTCCAGGAGTTGACACCGTTCGTCACGCAGTAAAACGAGAGCGAGAGTTCCAGGGCCTGTAAACCCATGCTGTAGCGGATCACAGCGCTTTGCTGGTAGTGAATGTTCGTAACTCATTCAAGGGCTTGGCAATAGCTCGCGTGAAATGTTCATGCTGGCAGGTGTAGGGGTAACAGGCCGCCGCGCATTCCTCCTCTCCAGAGTGGGCAGAGTACTCGCCCCAGTGAATGTGGAAGGAGATGCTGCCCCTTGCCTCCACGTTGGGAGGGAAAGGTAGGCTGGCTATGGTGAAATTAGGTTAACCACAGTAAAACCCGAAACAGCACAAAATTTTGCGGCGTTGCTGGAGCGCGCTCCGGGTACCCCCACAGTAAAACCCGAAGCAGCACAATTTTTTTTGGTCTGAAGCTTCTATGGTCCTTGCAAAGCTGAGTAGCCCGGGCAAACAAGGTGACCTGGGCCGCCTGGCTGGTAGCCTAGTAAATAAATAAACAATATGTAAATAAATAAAAATATATAAATCAATAATACATAAATAAAGAAATGTCGCTGGGGWGTGTCGATGTGCCAAGTTTTTTACCATGGGGGTAGAAACAGTGCATAACATGTTGGCCCCACGTTGTGAAATTGTGCGAGGAGAGAGAAAGGATGTGGTGTTGGAGGACCAATGGGTGTGAGAGGAGACGGCTCAGAGGGGACTGGAAGAAGGAACAAGGCCCTTAGGAGGAAAGAAGAGCAAGAGTGGGAGTAGTTGGCAGAGGAGGAGGGGAGGAGCTATGGAGTAATTGCAGGTGGAGTAACAAGAGAGGAGGAGGACAAGGCTGTTTGGCAGGAAACAGAAGGTGCAGGATGAGGACGAATGGGAGTGAGAAAAGTTTAGGAGGTGGAAGAGGAACAGGAGCCAAGAATAAGGCTGTGTGTTTTTTTTTTCCTGGCGGGAAACAAAGGTGGTTTCGTGTTTGGCGGGAAACAGAGGGTGTAGGATGAAGATGAATGGCAGTAAGAGTAGCTGAAGAAGGAGGTGGTAGAAGAAGAGGAGGAGGAGCAGCAGGAGGAGGAGGAGGAGGACAAGGAGGAAGAGAGTGTCGGGGAGAGGAGACGGGAGTCAGAGGAGCTGAAAGAGAAAGGTGGATAGTGGGAGGAAGAGGAACAGAAGGAGGAGAAACAGAAGGAGGACGAGGAGGAGGAGGAGGAAGAGGAGGAGGAGGAGGACCAGGAGGGCGAGTAACATCAGTTGGGAGTGGTAAGAGGATGGGTACGAGCAAGTCATAGGAGATGAGGAAGCAGCTCGCAGGAGGAGAAAGCTAAGGAAGAGGAGGAGGAGGAGGAGGAGGGGTAACATTTGTTGGGAGAAGTAAGAGGATGAATATGAGTCGTAGGAGAGGGGGAAGCAGCTGAAAGAGGAGGCAGCTGATGAAGAGAATGGACTCAGACGGAGGTAGACGGAGTAGGTAATGTGGCCAGGATAACGAGGAATCGACGATTGCCTGTGATTGGTTGCTGGATTCAGAGAAAGGGACGTGCGCGACAGGTTCTATGTTTGCATGCTAGTAGATTTTATGAGGAAATGTGACAGCGCCCCCCCCCCCACACCTTCTCCTGAGTAGCTAAGAGATTGACACCGCCAGCTCTCTGTTTGTGCGAGGTGCGAGAGAGTCCGAACCTGGTCGATATGACAACCAGGTGCATCATTCTAACTTTGTCGAACACTCGTTACACGATTGGCTCGAATTTACTTCTTTGTGAGATTGCTTTCTTGTACTTTTTCTTTTTTTTCTTTTTTTTCACGTTGTTTTATAAGACTACCCGGCCATTATTCTTTGTACATCATTGCGATAGAGTCGGAGTGGAAGCTCACGCTTTTTTTTGTTTTTTTAAACAATGTTTGCTCCAATCTTTTTTTTTTTTTTTTTTTTTAACATTGTCTGATGGACCACGAATCAGATGTTTTACCTAAAGTGATCAGAAACAGATACTACACTTGATCTTAGCCAGAGGGCCGAGAAATGCTTCCCCCCTCCAATCGATCTTCGTGGGGTTCAAAGCTTCGCCCCGCCCCCCTCCCTCCCCCCCCTCCCTTTCCTAACAAGGCGTTTTTATTTTCTGAGAATGATTGTTTTTTTTTTCTTTTTCCTGATCGTCGTGGTGGCTATGATTTGCCGTCATCTTTGCTAGGAGGACATAGGAAAAGACGTCGTCGCCACAATTTGAAGATGATCATAGCAAAAATGATTGAGTCTGAGGTGACGGCGTCCGACTCTTCGCCATCGCCCTCTGCTTCTGCTTCTTCTTCTTGCGCTCGGCCAGCGGTACCAGGCAACACAGTTGGGAAAATAAGGAAGCATGTTCGACAGTTTGTGAATGCATCCTACGACGAACACAAGCAATGATTGAAGAATACGCTGAACAAGGTGGACCTCTTTCTCTCTCTCTCTCTCTCTCTCTCTCTCTCTCTCTCTCTCCGCGCAACGGCTCGTGGTATTCTGTCTCCTCGCTTAGATGTTCTTATTTATTTATACTCCATTCCAAACAGTTTAAACACTCCCTGATTGGCATGCTTGGTCCATTTCCAATAGTTCAATAATGTTGACGCCCTTTGTGTGTGTGTGTCGCGTGTGTGTGACATTTATGTGTGTGTGTCGCGTATGTGTGACATTTATGTGTGTGTGCGTGTGGCGTGTTTGACGTGTCTGTATGTGTGTTTTTGTCACGGTACGAAACTGTCGCGGTCGCACCACAGCATGTTGTGTCATAATGCCACACGAAATAACATCACCTCGTGGGCTTCACCACATAACGACGCAGAATCATTCACTTTTTCGTAACAAGAGTCAATTGTGCGAGGAAAGGTTCAGCCCTGTGAATGCCTTATGAGCAGGACCCGGGAAGAAGGGGAAGCCCGAATTGCCATGGGTATGTAGTGGTCAGGGCAGAGGGGGTCGTTTTTCAGGGCGACAAAAGGAATTTCAAACGGAATTTAATGGGATAATTGTCCTTATACTGCCAAGATCATCATCCGAGAGCAATGACTCATTGTGCCAAGGAAACCTTTCTCGAAGGGAATCCTTGGGTAAAAGATTGGTCCGCAGGAAACATTCATGAAACCATCGACCGGATAACCGAAGGGAGGGCCAGAAACGACAACGAACCGTAACAGCATTCATAATATGGCTCAGGACGGCCTCAGCCTCAGTATGTAGCACGTAGGATGTACAACCGAAAGCATCACCAGCCCATAGCATCATGGCCAGAAAAAACGGGGGGGGAAAAAGGACAAATAAGCAACACTCTCAAGGGTTAAATCTCAAAATTCCATCATGATTCGGGAACACAAGGTTGCAGCACAAGGGCAAGCTATGCTCCATCATTATAAGTGTTACGCATGCAAACGTCCACAGGACCAAAGCCAGTGGACGGGGAGAACACAAACGAAGTCTTGTCCCAAAGCAAACATGCACTAGACTCAGCCTTGCAGCATTTTTACATGGCGAACTCCTCGTACCAACTCAACTTAAGAAGATATGGATTCAGACCCATAGGAAGATGCAAATGACGAAACAAATGGGAAAGCTCCGGTACACCAATATGCTAAACTTCGGCGAATGAAGCTCAACAAAAAAGCCCAGAAATTACACCCTCCATAACCCTACACCAGGGGCGAATTCCGAACTACATCACTAGTTCACACGGAGCCCCCACTTGCTTCATAAAGCAGTAACACGGTCAATGAACCACTACGCCACCGCCAAACTAGTTAACAAACGTCACGGCCATCGCACTGCGATCCTCAACATGTGATCATAACGGCAAGAAAAAGACGCCGCTACTAAACCATTCCAGCACACCCAATTCCATTTGCAAAACCAACAGCAAAGGTCAAAGGAAAATCTCTTTCAATGACAGCATGACTCCAAGATCGTTATCCGATCATAACATGACTTATGACAGAATCAAACAGGAGCATCTTGCAAATCCATGGATGGGCCAAGACCTGTGCTAATTTACTCGTGTCGTCACACCCGCACCGACTGCAACAGTAGTACGTTCCATGGGCGATGGGTCCCAGGGAGTGGATCATTACAACAAACACTCCGACTTCGTGATCAACTCAGAAACAATCATGCGTTAGGAACACTCTGCATGTGCAGTCGATACCTCCCGTCCCCGCTTAAACAATGATCAGCGCAACAGGTGCAATGGACATCATCAGAAGGAGTAAATGTACAAACCAAAAGCATGACTAAGGATTGGTACGCTACAGTATTATCAGAATTGAGCGGCAAAAAACACCAATCTAATCAGCAGCTTATGTAAACGACAAAGATGGTACGTAGGATGCTTCCTCGCCACCCAAAGCCTTATCATCAACCTGCCAGGTCACGCGGTACCGATAACTCCGAAATAGCAAGAGACCAAATGAATCCATAGCCACGGGAATGACGACCAGGCACCGGGATAGCAGACCAATGAATTTACACTAAGGAATGAAGCCCAACAGAAAAGCGAAAGAAATGCACCCCTAGGGAAGCAAAATGTCAGTTGGGAATCCTTCAAAAGGGAACTCATCCGGGTGGGGTCGAAGAAATGCGGACGCAGTCGTGCTTCGACCAAAAACAGGAATTTAGAATCTCACACCGCTCCTAAGAAGCCACCCATATTCCCAAAGCGGAGGTGAAAACTGAACACCATCATCAGCACACACAAAGCATCTCCTTGTTTTTCAAAGCAATATCGCCGCTCCTGAACCATTATCCTATCGCCATCCCATGTACCAAACTACCCATACATGTCAAAACATTAGTACTTTGCGAGACCCTGTAGCAAGCAGAGAGGAAAAAGGATCCCAAGAAGATGGAGTAGCCCAGGTGCATGCGCAGGACAAGTAGAGGGGGGCAGCGCATACTCAAGTAGTAACCCCCGAGTGACAAACACGACCCAGGAAGCGAGCAGGGGGATCGTGAAGAGGTGAGTAGAGAGAAGTAGAAATACACCACGCCATATCCCTTTGCGCACACGAACATCCATGATGTAACACCACACCAGCAAGAGTACAGAAAGGAGAGATACTAATCACGAAGCCAGCGAACCCCCGTCACGCCTTGCAAAATCTGGGTAGAGATGGGGAAGAGCAGTTGGTACCGGAACGGAGAGCCAAAAAGACCAATACTGCCTGGGTGTCGAGGAAGGCCATAAATGCAAAGTACGCTAGGAAGACGATGCAGAGAAGCACGATGAGGCAGATTGTACCGAGCATCTCCATGGTAAAAGGATCTTGGACAAAAGAGCATATCGAACCCTATGTCCTTCGGATTGCAGAAGCCGCCAAGAGCTCCTACATGCAGAACAAAAACACACACGAGGCGGCCAAAGACGGGAACAAGCACGCGAATAGAGGAAGGTAGAGGATAGGGATAGTAGTTAACACATCCAGCAGGGAGGGTGATCAATAGGAGGGAAGCATGGGGTGGAAGGTGAGAAGAGAAGAAGTCCCAACTCGATCAAGCGGCCTTCAACTGCCGACGCATGGTAGGTAGGTAGTGGAACACGCCCCTTAAGCAGCTTTTCACCAGCCTCCACATAAGCTGGATCTTCAGAAAACTAATCAACCTCCATGCCGTAAAGAAAGGGACCGGAATGCCGTCGGGCAAAGCCCGTATTCCAAAGAGACGAAGATTTCAAGGGTCATGCATAGCGGGTACAGGCGAGGAAGGGGGTATTCA